ATGCTATGCATGCGTGCATCCATACATTTGTACTGCATGCATTAGGCTCGGTACATCACGCTAACTGCATCTGTACTTCAATTCACAAATTGAATATGTGGTAGTTGATCGCATTTCACATGCCATGTTTAGGGTTAGCCGAGCCTATCTAATTGCATCCTGTATGTGTTGCATTAGTCAAATTGACATGAACTAGGACATGCATGTTTGCTAACTAGTTTATTGTTTTGGCACGGAATACTATGTAAGTATTTTCCTGCTTGAGCACCTTCCCCGATCGTACCCAAGCTCCCGAGCCGAGACAACTCCGGTGATGACGGACATGTGGCCTTCGGCATCGAGTCGGGGTTTCCTAAATTTCCCCATTTTAAAAATATTTAGGTGGCGACTCTGTATCTGGCAAAGCAGTCCATGTTTGGCACTACTTTTTCAAAAATCTGTTTCTCAAAATGATTTGCCAGATTTGGACTCTTTGGTTCAGATTAAGAACTGTGACACAAATCGAGAGTCCGAACTGTAGCGTGAGGCCCACGCGCGGGCGCTGTTACATCCATCACCAGTGAGCTTTCTTATTTGATCGGTAAATTACTTAAACCATAGTTCTTCTCTATATCATATGAACACTGCCTTGATACCAGTGATGAGATAAAACATAAGAGACAAAAAGAGTCGGTAGCGCCATCCCAACATAGATGAATAAGACAATTCAGGAACCACAGAGGAAAAAGGAGAAGAGAACTTGTGGCATTTGTGGTGCCATTTCTAAATACACTTTTTTCCAGTTTTTAGTCCCTTAAAAAAGAAAAAAAAAAGTAGTTTAAAAATCCATTTTGCTTAGTGTTGCTCAAGCAATTGTTTCACAGACTTAAAATAATAATAATAATAATTAAATAACAGCCAACGAAAGGGAAAAGCATACACTCCCCCCAACAAAATAAAAGGGAGAGAGTAGTATTAAAATCATTAATAATCTCTTTCCAATAATATATGATGCGCTCTCTCAACCAATTACTGTCGGTTTTCTATTGAAAATGTTCCTCATTTAATCTCTTCATCACTGGTAAAGCATTTATTAAAACTTGAAAATAGGGCACCTAAAGCAAATGACTTGCAATCTGTGGCCAAGTGTGGTCTTTCAAAGCAAAAGGACCAAAGTTTAACTCCTCATGGATTACTATAATAATGCAATTTTCTTTTTTACTTTCAAAGGATATGGTTTCCCCAACATTTGCAACAGGAAAAATATCAAGAAAGTATTTCAGTGATTTTATTAAGAAAAAATCTGTTGCTCAAAATCCACTTTATAGTGACCAATTATATAGACACGACTTACATGCCTAAATAAATGAAGTTATCCATAGCAATCAACAAATGTGGTAACATCTAAGACCGGAACTATTAGCCTATCAAAACAAGATACATACTTCCTTAATGTTCAATATTATAGATGACTGCTCCCTTCCTTCACTTGTTAAAGAATTGAAAGGAAAATTATATAGGGTTGTTTTTAACCAGTAACAGTTGGCAAGCCTGTCAGCATAGCACTCATTCTTTTGAAAACAAAAACACTACTATAAATTTTTTAGCGCAAGTCAAGAATGGGTTTTTATAGTGCAGGTGCACTATGTTGCTATTTTGGCATGGACAAAATAAGAGGGGAAGGTACAAAACTCACTATAATTGCTCCACTGTACTAGAAAAATAGGAAAAGTATGGGGAGAAAATGGAAGTAAAGAACTTAGACTAACCCTAGTCCAATGTCCTAGCCCTTGTTGTATGGCTTGCTCTTCAAGACGTAGCAGTTCTTTTAAGAAAGGACTAGCATCTCCTTTCTGTTGACCCTGCTCCCCAACCTGCACCTAGCCGATTCAGCAATTGCCCACCCATAGACAACCAAAATTTGATATTAAAATAAAAAAATGTATGCACAAATCAAGGGTAATATACCTTTACCCAGCCCTTAAAAATAACCATCAATGCAACATTCTCATCACTAAGGAAAATAGAGCCAAATTCTCGCCCAATAGATGGTACAGTATAATCCACTTTGAATGTGACATCCTATTCAAAAACAAATTGGTTCAGATCTAAAAATATCTTACTCATTCATTAGGAAAATGATAGATTGCAATCATAGCTATAGATAAAGCATTTAAATGAGCACCTTTCCCATACATAGTTTCCTTAAATACTCTTTGCTTTCCCATGCAAATGGCTCATCAACACCACCTTTATGGGCCTAGAAATGTAAATGGGGAAGGGTTAAATAAAGAAACGAGTAAGATAAACATAATGTACGAAATATGAAACAAATAATACAGATTGAATATACTTACCAATCATCGAGCAATAAGGGATGACAAAGTGATTGTTTTCTTAGGGGGGATTTTTACCTTGGTGCTTCCCATTATCACCAAACTATCCCCAAAAGGAATAGCTTTCACTTTTCCTCTCAACCATTTTTAACAGATAAAAAAAGAGAGTACAAATTAGGCTAAAAATTATAATATACAATCAACCAAAGTAATCAAATGAAAAAAGAGTATCAAAGCAAGAGGAAGCTCACCTCACTTGGGACTTTTGTCAAACACGTTGTCTTCAGCAACCAAACACCATATATGCACATGAAATAGAACACATCAATTAGGGTTTTGGGGTAAGACCAGTATCAATTCTAACCAACTTAATCAAACATATATGAGTGTGTATACATATATATGCAAAATTCTCGAATTCAAAAAACATTAATCAAATCAAATAGATGAAATAGAACACTCTAGAAAATAAAATACTAAATAGATGAAATTCATAGCTTAAAGAATAAAAATGATCAACTAAACTCTAAAAAAAAACATTAATTAAATCAAATTTTGCTTCAGAAAACAAAAATTTACTTCAGAAATGACAACAAGCAAAGTTAGAACTCATAGTTTTGATAGTATTCTCCAAGTTCTGAGCAACACCATGAGCCAAGAAAATCAACAAGAAGGCTCTTGGTTTGGGTTTCAGAATCCGAGTGTTCAGCAATGAGTGGTGTCTCTCCGTCCATGGCTTCTTAGAACTCTCAATTGGGTCAATTTGCCACAATGAGATATATAAACCCTAGAAATTGGTGGTGTGGTGGGGTAGGGCATATAAAAGAGAATATTAGAGTGGGGTGAAGAGAGAGAGAGAGAGCACCATTTGAAACCCTTACCGTTCGAAGCCTCCCTCTTCTTCCTTTCTTCTCAGTTTTCCTCCTTAAACAGTATTCTATGTTCAGCCATTTAAAAGCCAAAGAGTGAATGTTTTGAACAGTATTCGGTGCTCAAACCCTTCTCTTCCCCTATGATTTTGCTTCTTCGAACCCTTCTCTTCTCTTCTCTTCTCTTTTGTGCCTAACCCATTCTCTGTTCAGATCCCTTTCTTCCTTTTACTTTTTAAATATACTAGTGGGTGGCATGTGTGTGCAATTTAAATAAGCAGGAATAAAAAAATAATAATGAAATTAATAATATAATGTGTACTTAGTTTAAGTGGTATGAGTCCTCGTACTTAAACCCATGGTCATGGGTTCAAGCCTTGCCCATCTCTTTGTTTAACTTTTTTTAAAAAAATAAAAAATACTGCCACATGGCATGAGGAGAGTAAAGCTTTAGGACACCATAAGAGTTTGTGTTCACTTTATAATAGTATAGATAGATATAGATTTTTTTGATGCTTTGGCGCTAGAGTTTTTCATTTTGGTGCCTATTTTTTTTTTACCGGTCATAACATTTATGACATGCATTGTGCATCGTAAAAAGGCAATATTTTTAACGGCAAGCTTTATGTGCGTCATAAAAAGTGTAATACTTTTAACGACGGGCGTTGTGTGCATTGTGAAAAGTGCAATACATTTCACAGCTGGCATATATGTGTCATGTATAGTTGATGTATTAACAGCATGTCATATATATGTCATAGAAAGTTTTATTATTTATGGCAAACATTGCAAACCATAAAAAAATCATCATTACTACCATTCACGACCTACGCAATAGACACGCCGTGCTTGGAAAATTATTTACGACATGCAAAAAAAGTAAGTCATAAAAGTGAGAAACCATGACTTGTATTTATTATATGTCATTGATGTGAAGCCGTAAAAACCCAATTTTGTTGTAGTGACATGAGAACGGATCATTCTCCAAGGTACGGGATATTCCTCACAAAGCTTCAAATATTCTATCAATAAATCAATTTGATCCAGTGTTCGATCTTCGTTGCTTTCTTCGCTGCCCAATACTCATTCAGCAGTTCAAAAGCCGGCAAAGAGAACTGGATTTCCAAGAAAAGACTCTGCCGTGAGAACCCCATCAACACCTGTCTCTTTCAAACAGTTCTGGGCATTATCAACGTGTCTTATATTCCCATTGGCAAGGACGGGAATTTTGACGGCGCTTTTAACTGCCCTAATGGCACTCCAGTCGGCCCGAAATTTCTTCCCATCTTTTTCATCTCTTGTATGGCCATGAATGGCTAAGAGAGAGCAACCTGCGTTCTCCAACATCCTGGCATAGTTTATGGTATCTTGTAAATAAGGAAAACGTGAATTTTGCATGATACTGGGACATTAAGGTTAAGAGCCAATTTTTCTACCAGGCACTTAATGAGAGGAAGATTATCCATTAGGAAAGCTCCATAGTTCCCCCTCCAAGCAATATGTTGAGGACACCTGCACATACATTAAACATATTAAGCTATTGAAGTCACCAGAGAATGCTCTTGAAAGGCAATTAATACAAGCCATTTTTAAAGCACCATGTAAATAAAAAGAAAAGAATGAGTACCCGATGCAAACCATAAGAAGGTCAAGAAAAAGCAATGCTTATCTCTCTCTCTCTCACACACACATACACACACATACACACACAAGTTAAGAAAAAGCAAAATTAAAGAAGCGGTTATGTTTAAAAATTGATTGGTTTCAAGCCAAATTCACTTGGGATCAAATGGATCAATGAATAAGTTTTTAGGTTTGGGAGGGTCATATTCTATGGTTAGTTGGTTAGTTAGGCTAGGTATTAATCTATTTAGTTTTCGATATGATTTATTAATTTTATAACTTAGGGATATTTTGATAATTTGTAGAATTTCTAGACATGGGCAATAGGCATTGCCCATTGGTCATCATATAAGCTAAGTATGTAATTCACTTTTCTTTCTCTTTTTTTCTTTTTTTTTTTATAAATTTTATTTGGTCTTTAGGTAGATTTTAAAAGTCAGAAGTTTGATTTCCTATTTAGGAGTACTAGTCTTAGTTGGTAACTAATAAAGTTTTCAAAGTCAATATAATGCCTTTAATTCAATGAAAAATAGGTCATAAGAGAATTTTTAGAACTTTTGAAATCTCGTGTGATACAATTCTAACCGTAAGTCCTAGAGTTTTTCTTCACTCTTCTTATTCAACATTTTTTTTTTCCTTCTGCCTTTTTAGCTTCTAAACCCACAAAATCAATCACATCTACATGAGAATGGATCATTCTCCAAGGTACAAGATATTCCTTACAAAGCTTCAAATATTCTATCAATAAATTAGTTTGATCTAGTGTTCGATCTTCATTGCTTTCTTTGCTGCCTAATACCCATTCAGCAGTTCGAAACCCGGCAAAGAGAGCTAGATTTCCAAGGAGAGACTCTGCCGAGAGTACCCCACCCTATCCGCACCTGTCTCTTTCAAACAGTTTTGGGCATCATCATTGTGTCTTATATTCCCATTGGCAAGGACGGGAATTCTGACGGCGCTTCTAATGGCCCTAATGGCACTCCAATGGTAACAACTTGACCTGTGATTAGCTATTAAATCATAATTAAAAATGCCTAATAATAATTAAGGTGAAATTATGAATTAATTGTATGTGCATTGCATTATTTGTGTTTATATTTGTCTGCGGTAGGAATATCTGTTTATGTTTCTGTTTTGTACTGCGAATTGAAGGCCTTATCGGCATCCGATCATGAAATTGACTTGGTATATGTGTTGATTGAAATTTTTAGAACATTGTGGTAGGTTTAATTGAAATTCGATTCGGAGCGAAATAATTAGAATAATTAATACTCATTTGATTAGTGGTAAGCTTAACTAATTAATTTTCTTAACTATGCCTATAAAAAACTTATACACCACTTTGAGTCACCTTCTACTCATCATTTTGAGCCTATACAATGTGAGAGTGAGGAAAAAAGAGACCAAGAGTGAGAGTTTGATATCAACACTTGAGATTGGGAGGAATTTGCTAGAAATTGAAGGAATTGGACTTAGAAACACAAGAATCAAGCTTCTAGCTATCACATTGACAAGCCTAGGTAAGAATTCAACCCTTAGATTGTACAATTATGATGTGTAGGACATGAACTCTAGAGAATTAAGTTGGATCATACAAGAATTGAGTTAGAATTGATGAAATTGAGCCATATCTTGCATGCATGCATAATTTTCATGATTTTGTAGTTGAATTCAAAGAATTTCCTCTTACATGTCCTCATTTTGGCCTTGTTCTAAGAATTCAACATGTTTTTGAGTTAGATACCTCATTTGATCATGTTTTGAAAACTTTGAACCTGCACCTTTACATGCATGATATGTAATGATATGTTTTCACAATTTCAAGTTTGAGTTTTGAATAATTGAGGAAGCTTTTGGGCTTAATTTTGTGGCATGATTTTGAATTCACCATGTTTTATCAGTTTACAAGTGTTTTCTCAAGTTTTGGGGCCAAAAAGTTGCATTCTGAGACTTTGAATTTGAGTTTGAAGCTTGTGAGTGCAATGTGGAAATTCTAAAATTTTGTACCTTTGCTCAAGTGACAGATTCTGTGCTCGAGCGACTACCTTTATTTTTGCACTTCCGTTCGAGTGACCAAAAGTTGGCTTGAGCATAAATGCATGCTCCCAGAAGTTCACATGTTTTACAGACTGCTCGAACGACAAGAGTTGTGCTCGAGCGAGTGTCGAGCGGAAAAATCAAGTAACCAGTACTTTTACAGAATTTACAGATCGCTCGAGCGACTGAAGTTGCGCTCAAGAGACCACTCACATTTTTGAACCTACGCTTGAGCGAAGGAAGTTACGCTCGAGCGGGGACCTTATTTTTAGCAAATTTGCTTAAGTGTTGAACAACATATTTTGACATCCTCATTGCATTCCAGGCATTTCTAAGCCATGATTAAGACATAATAATGAGGATAAGACGTAGAAACATACTAACAATGAAACATAATGAGTTAAGTATATTCTGAGCGTGTGTTTCAAATGTGTATCTGTTATGTGTTTGTGTAGGTCACGCGTCGTAAGCCATTTGATTAGTTTGCTCTGTCTGTCTGCATCCAGAGCCATCTGTGAGTAATAATTTAGTAATGTTATGTTCAACTTTATTGATTTTCTATATGATGAAATAAGATAACTCCGCCGGGGTTGTTAACGACTCTGCCGGTCCCAAGCCCGAGCTAAAGAAGAGGGTTATGTGTTAGGTAGCCGACAACCAATACGTAAAAAAGTTGCTTAGATCCCTTATAACAATGAATCCTACTTTGAATAGTTTAAATGCTAGGCTGTTCTCCTCAAGTGATGCGTTGCGCCTGCTTCCGGGTGTTTCGAAAAGTGAGCAAGGGGCGCCGCATCGACGCCTAGGTGTTGTGAAAAATGGGCAAAGGTTCCCGCATTTTTTTGGACGAGCGCAGGTAAAGAGGCTAGTCCAAGACTATAGGTTTAGGGTAGCCACTTGGAATATAGGAACCTTCACTGGTAAGATGATGAAATTGGTAGATGTTATGATTAGGAGGAGAGTTAGTATAGCTGGTGTACAAGAAACTAAGTGGACGGGTGAGAAATCTAAGGAAATTGAGGATACCGGTTTTCAACTGTATTATAGTGGTAAGGATAGACGTAGGAATGAGGTAGGAATCATAATTGCCAAGAGTCTTGCGGAGAATGTAGTGGTGGTCATTAGGAAAGGGGATAGGATTATGTTAGTTAAGCTAGTTATTGGAGGGAATATAGTGAGCGTTATTAGTGCATACATCCCTCAAGTAGGATTAGATGATCAGACTAAAAGGGATTTTTGGGAGCAAATGGAAAAGATCTTACAGGAGATACCCGTAGGAGAGAACCTGATTATAGGTGGAGATTTTAATGGCCATGTAGGCATAGATAAACTAGGCTATGAAAGGGTGCATGGTATATATGGTTTTGGAGACAGAAATGAGGCTGGAGAGAGTATCTTAGATTTTGCGTTAGCTTCTGACCTGGTGGTGGCCAATACTATGTATAAGAAGAGAGAGGAGTATTTGATAACCTTTAAGAGTGGGTCAGTTAAGAGCCAAATAGATTACTTCTTAGTGAGAAAAGTGGACCGCCTAAAATGCAATGATTGTAAGGTGATTCCTGGAGACAGCTGAACCTT